CGTGACCCGCTCAACACGCTGTCGCGGTTCTAAATTGTTTTTAAATAGCATCCTCACACACCCGGACCTTGACCGGGCACAGCATCTATCTTTTGAGTATCTTTCCACTTCCTCGGTACTTCCTCAGATTCCTCAGCTCATGCTGCTCAGGAGCAGCAGTTGCATCTGGTTTTGTCGAGGGAATAGCGGGAGGTACCCAACAAAAGATTCCCCTGCTGCCCGTGGCTTTGCTAAGGAAGGGTGTTTTTCACAGATACATTATATAACGCTACATCTAAGTACAAATCTCACCATCTCCCTTCAACCTTTCACACCGTATGACTGAAAGGGAGTTTATTTTGTGCACTGCACTTCCCACAGGCTCTGTATAAATAACCCAGCAGCTTATCAGATACCCAGCGGCACTTCCACAGAGCAGGTAGGCAAAGGCAGGCTTTGATCAGAGCAGCCAGCAAGGCTGGGCCAGAAGGGTTCAAAGCAAAAAGCACCAGAACGGAATTTACAAGTCAGCTGCCATCTCTTTCTTTTTTTCCCCCCTTTTTTGCCATTTCTGATCAACAAAGAAACTGAGTTTTGATGCAGAAAGACAATTCTCCCCGCCCCCCCAAAAAAAAGCACCTTAGGACTAAAACACATGCCTGACCAGAGAGGTACTACCCTCTTGTGTAAGCACCGTGAAGCAGCAGCAACTCTGCACCTTCCTCCTTCATACCTTCTTCAACTATTCCTCCCCGCTCAGCCCTGCTAACCCTCTTAAAGCCACTATCCGTGACATTTTGCTTCCTTTTGTTTCAAGACACACGTTGCCATTCAACTCCTTCCCAAGCATTTCATGCAGGCGAGAGGGGAAATGTTCTTATTTTACTTGCGTGTCTTATCAGGAAAACAAAACCAAACCAAACAAGCTCCCACTGCTAAATGAGGGTCTTGCTTTACACACGACTGTTGCGCGTCTTGAGTTTTTATTCCTTTTGCTGCTCAAGATCAAAGGACGGACTACATCTGTGTCCTCTGTGAAAGTCAAAGCTGAAACCTCTTCAGACTTTTTACGTGGAATTCATTGGGCATCTGCATCCAAACCACTGCTGCACATCTCAGGTACAAGACAGCCGAGCCTCCAGCCTCTCCCCACTCACATTTTCCAGACAGGAGGGATGGACCGAAAAAAAAAAAAAAAGAAAGAAAAAAGAGAGGGAGCTGGCTAGCCCCAAGCTTTCTGGATCAGAATTCCTCACGTGGCACAAAGCTGAACCACTTCCTTGAAGAAGGAGACATTAAGTGATCTAGATGAAAACCTAATCCGCATTACACCAAGAGCACCTCCCAGCACAGATGCTGCGCCTGTCAGCAAGAGACGGTTAAAACGCCGATCCCCGGCCAGATGTGAACCCGCACCAAACCAATCCCTTTCTGCCCCCCAGGAGCGAGGCCGTGGGGCACACGGGTACCTGCCTCCACAGCTCCAGCTTTAATTACCCTCAGGGCACGCAAGCAATTAACGCACTAAGTCGCAGCGACTCCTACAACCACAATACATCTTCTGCTTTTTCCTCTCAGCTAACTCAGCGGGAACCATTACCAATAAACCAAAATGCCTTGTTTTATAAACTCCATGGAGTCCAGTCATTAAAAGAAAATGCAAACTAACTGGTGAAGCCATTGCCTGTTAAAATAAGCTTGGGGGAAAAAAAATTAAAAGGAGAGCACTACTGCAGACCTGCACACCGCACAGGAGAGGCAACCTACGGGATAATCCAGCAAAATGCAGAGTCAAACTAGTTGATTCAGTCTCTCCCCGTTCTGCAGTCTACGAATTCTCAGAAAATGCCCCACCATGCTTATTTTTAGTCTAGCCATGAAAGCTCAGTATCTCTCCCCTTATTTTCTTCCATTGACACACAACTCAGTCTATCACCGGAGGAGGAAAGGCTCCAACACCCTCGGCACACTGCGGCTACCGCGCGCCCTGTATTGCAGGCTCTCCTAGAGAGGAGGGGCTGCAATCAAAACCCTAAAAAAATCAAATCCTAAAAATACAATTGCCAGGGAGGACGAAGGAGAGCACTAGATGTGACAACACCGGCAAAGATGAAACAAAAGGTACACAGGTAGCTGAGTGTAACATTAATTCCTACTGCTGGAATTCTTACAAGGTTCTTCTTTAAATAGTGAAAAGAAATACATACTCTTACAATAATGGCATGGGGGAAAAAGGAAGCTGAACTTACTGCTGGCTTCAAACCATTACAATTCAGGTACAAAACCCCACAGCTCCTTTTTAAAGTCATGCTAGAGGCTGTAGAAGGTATACAGTTATGGAAAATAGATTTTTTTCTTCTAATGGACAAGCCTCCCAGCCTTTTTAATGATCCCAGGCATCTAAAATTCAACTAAGTGCTTATTAGCAGAGGAAGAATGAGTCACCAGGCCCTGCCCGGGCCAGCGGTGCCGCACTCAGGGCTGCAGCAATTCCCCCTCGGGCAGGGCTCTGAGGGTTCAGAACCCCGAGAACCCCGTTCGAGCGGCTGAAGCCCCGTTTGCTGGGGCTGTGGGGGATTCTTCCTTCCAGTCACCGATGGGTTTTAAAGCACAACTCTCGTATTGGTGGCATTTAAAAAACAGATGGTCTTTACATCAGTGCATGGACTTATTAGAACAAAAGATCAGCTGTGGTTTTTTCCACCAGATTGCTAAACCAGCAGAAAGTTGCCTGGCAGAACGGGGTAAGACCCAGCAACATTTATTTTCCAAAAAACACCATCAGAAGCCTGGCTCTGAGCAAGACGTTGCCTCTGCCTGCCACCTCCCCCTGACTGAGACATACCCTGCGTAAATACCCAAAATACACACAGCACAGGAGCGTTAAAGTTCAAAACTCAGAAAACGTTTTGAAATATTTCCATGTAAACTTTGAAGAAAATATTTCCAATGAATATATTGGTTAATTCTTCCAAGTTTTCTAAACATCGCAGTCTTGGATCTTCTTTTTTAACCTGCCTGTGCCCCAAACCATGCAAATATTCTTTATATCATACCGGCATTACTACAAGCAATATGTCATCAGTAATATATTAACTCAGCAACATATCATCAATGTCTGTTAAACTTCAGTTCTCGTTTTATGTTCTGGCACGCAAGGTAGAAGTGCACAGGAATCCCACAAAGGAATAATCCTAGAATGAAGATAACCCTAATCAGATCTCATCTTTGTGGTCACTATGGTTTCCCTAGGATTTCAAAATGCAGGTATTTAGGCTAATGACAGAAAGAGAATCGGTATCTTTTTTTGAAGGGTGACGGGACTGATTTTCTTCAGAACTATGAAATCACAACCTTTGCAAGCCAAATGGTAAAAATCATAAACAAATTAAAATGTGTATCACCACTAATCTTGAGAGTACTCCAGCAAGGCAACAGCCTGCCCTACATTGCAACACCTCTTACTTCTCTCCTCCTGAATCTCTGGCCTTTTGGTAGCAAACTCAAGTTGCTGCTGCCAGCTCTGAAGAAGAGGAGAATTATTTTTATTGACTTACGCTTCACTTTAAACATACCCTGACTTGAAATCCTCCTGACTTCTGTCCAATGCTGTTGCAGATTCTTCTTACTATCAGCTTACTAATCAGCAGGCAGAATAATAAGCTATTAGACAAGTCAACCCACGGGTACCAGCCCTCTCCTCGATGAGCAAATAACTGTTTTCCCCCTGCTCGTGTAACCAAAGAGGAGCGACAGCTCCCGAGCTCTGCCAACCTGAGCTACTCCTTCATTTGGATACAGGACTGAAAACTGTGCCCCCACCACTCCCTCTCTCAAAAAATTCCCTTTTTTTTTAGTCCCCACACAACAGAATGCACCAGAAACCAGCAGGAGCATCCAACCAGAAGGGTACATCTGCAGCCACCCTCCCAGCTACCAAGGTAAAAAAACCCAAACAGACCAAAACGTATTTTACGTTCCTCAAAACGCATCCCGCGCTCACGAGGGTGTCGTTCTTCACCGATTCAGTTAACGGCCTGACACCACACCAATGCTCCTCGGTCCTGGGAAACACGCTGATCTAATTCCCTCGCTTCTGTTCAAGCAGGAATTACGCTGGTCTGGCGAGACTGGAAAAAAGTGCTTGGGCCAGCACAAACCTGCGCCAACACACTGGCCTGAGCTTTGTGTGCTCAAGGACTCAACAGGGAAGAAATATGTTTTCATCTTAGATAGCCTGTAATTAAGTTTCACACGCTTAACAAAGCATAAGGCCTCACCATAATATTTAGGATCAGACGAACGTTTTTCTGGACTTCAAGACATCACAGAGCAAATACTGCACTTTTTCAAGCATTATATCACTTTTTTAATTGCCGTATGAAAAATGTTAAGTATCTTCAATGAAAAAAAAAAATCTCATTGTGCCACCATATATTGAGTTTGGGTATTTCGAAAGAGGCAGAAACAGAATGTATGGATACACCTTAATGCTGAATTTATCTCGTTAGCTCCAATGACAAACAACCAGAATTCACATAAACGCAGAAGTTCTGCTACTTGCTTTCACTATGGCTGCCTTTAAAACGTGATGCTAAGCCCACATAAAGAGGCTATTTACTCCTGCTACACAAACTACACAACGACACCAGACTACTACTGTGTCACTGCCCTTCCCAAGTCCTCTGAGTTTTAAAGATGGAGTATATTTTAATGCTGCAATTCCTTTTGCCCATCGAATTACTAAAACCTACCTGTGAAAACAACCTACCCTGAGAATTCCCTTACAACTCCTATCATTTGCTTTTATCTTTAGCAAGCATGTCTTCTGCACGCCACCAGCA